CATTGGAAATCAACTGTACTTTAATTAAAAAAACCCAGAAAATAACAAATTTAGCAAGGACATGGGGAAAAAATGCTATATCCAAAAGAATTATTCAACCAAATTTACTGATACTGTCCTGGAAACAAAACTATAATAAGCATAGAATAAATTTTTAAAAATGAAAAAACAAAAACCAAAAACCCCATGAAGCAATTTTGCTATCGAAATGGGAAAATGCTAACATGATATTGTGCAAAAAAAGAGGCACACAAAATTGCATGTGTAGAGTGATCTCAAAATTACCCACAAGAAAACTTGATGGGCGCGTATTAAAATGTTAATATGATTAACTTTGGATTGCAGAATTATATATATATAATAAGACTATATTATTTTTGTTAGAGTTTAAGTCAAAAGAGAAAGAAAAAAGAGGCTTTGGGCATTCTGGTAGCAGGAAAAATGTGAAACATACTAACATATAACTGCTGTGGTAAGTTTCAGGAAGAAGAGGCAGTTTTCCTCCAATGAAATTCTATGAGAATTTTTTTCATGTGGAAATTTCATAAAGAGAAAATAAATATCATCTCCAGTGCTTGTGTATAGATTTATACTTGTATTAGAAGTAAAATAATTCATATTATTAGAACACCCAGAATAATTTACATTATTTATTTTTTTTGTAATGGCCTTTCATAAAAACCAAGCATATCATTGAGAGTGCACGTCAGTGAAGGTTAATTCTGGGAGGAACCACACTGCAATAAATAGGTAGATTTTTGCGTGGCTAACCTGGACCAAGAATAGATCCTGGAGAAGAATTGACTTAACCGAGGTCACAGAAGATGTTAATGGCAGAGCCAGAATTAGACCTTGTGACTTGATTTTTCAGCCTGACCATGCTACCTATCCCCCTGCCTGGCCCCAAAGAAGAAATGTGTAGCTGACTTCAGTTTCTATGATTAGCGTCCATTATTGACTTGAATCCCTTATCCCAAATGTCCTATCGATGTATACTCACCCACTTTCCCCCTCCTTACATCAAACTACTTTTTAATTTCAAGCCCTATCTTTCTTTGCTTGAGTGTGTGTTTGTGTGTATATGTGTTTGTGTGTATATATGTGTGTGTGTGTACTTGTATGTCTGTGTATTTGTGTCTCTTAGACTGACAAGACTTGAAGAGATTCAGATAATATTCTATATCCACATTGTAGCCCCAATAGGCCAAACTACCAACACTTGTCCTTCAATGATTAATGGAGAGAAATTATGTTATAACTGATGGGAAATTTACAAGATGCTTTTAATATAATTAAAAGTAATGTCTCTATTGGCTCTTAACTCTTCCCCAAGCCTAGAATTGGCTTCTTTCCAGAACTAACACATTTCATCCAGCAACTGGAGAATACATTTTAAGAAAAAGAAATCTTTCCATCTTTGAATTCATACTTGATTGACCAGAGTATAGTTTGTGAAATTTAATATTAGGTTATTCTATCATGAAATAATCACTGGGTTGCTCTGAGTAATATTTTCATGAAGTCCGGGAATGTTTTAAAGCAGGAAGAAGCACACAGGTTCATCTAAACCTGTCTCATTTTACAGATGAGGAAACTGAATCTAGGGAGGTTACACTATGTCTAACCCACTAATCCTGTGATTTTCCTTTTATACCCCTTCATTCTTTCATCTGAAAAATAATTTTTGAGCATCTGTTATGTGTCAGATGATGCAGTGCCTCCTAAAAATTTAAAAACCAAAAACCTTGGTTCATAAGAAACCAGGGGAGGTTTAAGAAACCATGGGAGGTGTAGCATGTGTTAATGAACATTAGTCTATTATAGCTTATGTTGCATTGTTAATGTTACGTTCCTAGAGTTGTAAAACATGAGGGAGTAGTGAAATTTGCCTGGGAATTCAGGAAACTTTTCTAGAATGGATGACGTTTCATCTGGGCCTTGAAAGATAAGCAGAAATACACCTGCTTCAGAAACAAGGGAAGAGTATTCAAGGCAGAAGGAAATGAGAGGCATAGGATAGGTTTGTGCTTATTTGGGGGATACCAAGGACTGGCTTAATCTGTAGGGAGTGATTGAGGGTCAGATTGAATAGGTCAGCTCTGACGTCGTTGGGGAAGGCTTTGTAGAGTCAGCTGAGTTCTCTAAGCTTTATTCTGGAGGTAGTGGGAATCTGTTGCATAATGTTAGGCAAGGAAATGACACTTTACACTTTCACATGGGTCTACATTTAAGAGGAATAACTGGTAGCACTGTAGAGGATGGACTGGAGGAGAAAGGACAGCTAAAGTCAAGTTCAGATGAAAATGATGAGATAATGAACTTGGCCAATAGGGGGTTTGCTCTACAAAGAAGGAAGAGATATTTGTGAGCTTAGAATTGGCAGGACCTTATAATGATTGTGAAGGATAATAAACAGGGAGCAACCAAGGAGGAAGATGAAGCTTCTGGTTTTGAAGGTTAGAGTCATGGTGATACTGTATAACTAGGCTATGACATACATGAAAAGGGTAGTAGGGGAAAAGCTTGCATGCGGTGCTAGAGATATTCAGCTTACCCGTGATGGAACATTTAAAGAGAAGATACACAGGAAGTAATTGAAAATCTGTGTCTTGAGCTCAGAAGAAAAGTCTGGGCTGGTGTTATTGATTTTGGAGTCATTAAAGAAGGTGAGAGTTGAGTAAAGAGAATAAAGAAAGAAAAGTATAAGAACAGAACTCTGGGGGATGGCTGGAAGAGAGGAGCTAGTATAAGACATATGTAAGGGATGGCTAGAAGAGAGGAACTAGTATAAGACGTGGTTAGAAGGGATTATTTGTGTGGTAGGAAGACAGTGAAGGGAACAGTGTTGTGGAAATCGTGTTAGTCATGATGCTTTCAGCTGCTATTGACAAACAAACTCAAAATGACTATTATGGTCAAGTAGACTTACCTGCTCAGTTAACGACAATAACATCCCAAAACTCCAGAGGTAAGTAGAACAGAGAGCAGATGTTTTAGTCACAAATCCAGCTCCATTTCTTTCTGACTGTCTCAGAAATGTCCTCCTCTGGGTGGTGGGTTCATCACTAGACTGCTAGGAAGATGGCTGTGGCAGTTTCAGATTTCCCATCCACGTACAGCCAAGGACTTTCTTCCAGTTCTATCTCAAAAGGGAGGAAACTTCTTTTCCCAATTCCCATCAACCTTGCAGTTACCTCTCATTGGATTGACATACCTATTCTTGAGCCAATCTCTCTGGCCAGTGGAATTCCATATCCTGGTTGCATTATGCTTGGGTTTCTGAACTGATCACTAGCATAGAATATAGAGATTGGGCTGACCCTCCGTAAGTGGAGGACTCATTGATTCCTCTTTTGTCCCACAAAATGCAAGCCTGCTGAAACCAAAGAAGGTGAGGTAGAATGGGTATTAGGCAAGTGGATGCCTGTTAAGAAAACCAAGGGAAGAGAGAGTTTCAGAATGAAGGAGTGGTCATTCATATCAAAAATTGCAGATCAAGTAGGATAGGTATGATAAAGAGATCATTAAATCTGTCAATTATGTGGTCGTTGATGACCTTTGGGTCACCTTTCCAAGAAGAACTTGGGAAGCTCTTGCAGAATACTTTTTGAAGGAGTGTGGCAGCAAAGAGGAGAGAGATAGGAAGAGTTAAATCAATTGCAATTCAATGATGCATATAAATTCATTTGCAAATATTATTTTATTGATAAGCTTGCATCAATTCACTCCTTCCTAGGTTGAAAGAAGGAGGAAAATTAATCCTATAATGTGAAAACAGTGTGACAAGTTTGTGAACAAAACCAAGAGCATATAAACAAAGAGAGAGTGATAAATGTTTGTGGCATGGTGAAAGGTGACCACTAAAAATGTGAGAGATGGGATTTCCATCAACATTTCATTGGGCTCAGAATCATGCCATGTTTTTGGTATGTTTTGTTTGGTTAGTTTTTTTTTCTGCAATGAGAAACGGATAGGTTTAATTTACAAGGTCAGCCTTAGCAATATTACATGCACTTTGTAATTGCAGCATAATTACATTAAAAGGCAAAGGCAATTTTCTTCAGGTATGGCCAGCCACTCAGAGGATTGGTATAGGAAAGCAATAGGGCACATTTAGTCAGTGTCAGGCCATAGCGTTTGTAGATTTCCAATACTCAGTCAAAGCATAAAATAAGTTTTCAAACCCTAAGAGCAGCAAGAATTTAATGTTATTAATTCTGTGATGATAATAGTAATATTAAATACATCCTTATGTGGCTGATAGGTGCCTTTTAGCTTTTAGGGAAAGTAATTCTGATAATGGTTCCCATTTCATTTTCACTTGTACATAGAGCACTTTTCACAATTCATTCACTTTTTCTCCCCAAGTCATAATAATCCTGTGAATTGAGAATAGGTGATATTATCTTTATTTTTAAATGGGAAACAGACTCCTAGAAGAGTTGCTGAGTGACTAGCTGAAAGTTACCAGTTATCTTGCCGCAGCAGTTCCAGAGTGAATGGAGAAATATCAAGACATGCAGATTGGGACTCAAGGCAACGTGATGTTGGGACCATGTTGAAGCTGGGAGAGGTAAATTCTTGGGTAGACTTTCACTCAGAGAGGACTACATGGACTGGGGTGAGGGTTAGTCTTCCAAAGTATTGATAGATAGCTGGACAAATGATTGACCCAGGTTCAGGCTAAGGATGAAAATGTGCAGAAAGTTCATTTCACAGGTGCCAAATTTGGGAATGATTTTTTTTTTTATGACGTAATGCCTTTATTATGTAATTATAAAACTAACAAATGATCATGGTAGAAAATTTGAAAAACTCCTAGACAAAAGAGAGATCAAAAACATTTGGAGTAACTTTCAGAGTGTAGAGCTGTCCATGAATATTAGTGCTTTCATATTTTCCAGGACTTTAAGTAGACTCTGCTTCTTAAGAGTCTATTCATGATATTTTACTTTAATGATGTTTTCATCATGGGGACACACACACACAGAAATCTGGGGCGAGGGAGGGAGGCGAGGTCTAGGGCGTCCGCTCGCGCCCGCCGCAGAACCCCTCTGCTGCACTCAGCCCAGGCTTCCAACGGAGGCGCGACCCTGGCTCAGCCGCCGCTTCCCCCTCGGGGTCTTGGCCACCGCCTCCGCCGCCTCCGGGGCTGTTTACACCGTTGGGCCCCGCACGCCGCCGCCGCCTTCTCTCCACCCTAGCGCCGTTGCCGATTCGGCCGCCGCCACCTCCTCCGCCGCAGCCTCGTCTCTCTGGAGTATCTTCCAGCCACCGAACCCTGAGAAACAGAGACTCCAGCCGCGCCGGCAGGAAACTCCCCCGCAACAGTTTAGGACGTGGGCAAAGTAGTTACCTTCTCTGGACACCCGAGGAAGGTGGGACAGCACAGTTGACACTGGGCTTAACTGTTCTGGAAAACGTGGTCCCAGTAGGCATACACGCTGGTACATTTTCCCCACCTGTACACTCCTCCAGCACTCCCAACCCAAGCCTCTTCAGTGAGCGTCACATCCTTTTCCTTATCCCGTAGCGCCCATCAACCCGCCGCTCCCCGGGAGACGGGAGACCAGCCCGGGGTCCAAGTCCTGGGAGTAGCCGACTCGCCCCTCTCCGGGCCCGGCTCCAGCTCACCTCGGCGCGGCCCGCCTGGGCGCCGCCATCTTGACCACTTGGGAATGATTTAAAAGAGAGTTCTAACATACCCTCTCCTTTCAGCACAAGGATGCCGAGGCCCAGAGAATTATGAGCTGGGTGAGAGGCAAGGTCTTCCCCGCTAGCCCACTAACCTAGCTTTCTGCTGTCTTCACTACCCTGAATCCCACCTTGGAGTCCTCAAGAGAAAGAGCATAAACTTGATGGAAAGACAGGTGATGTGGCTCAGAAGCTCCTCTCCCAGCAAAATTCAGAGGATGGGGAAGAGTTGTTTCCCTAATGCCAAGGGAACAATTGTTCTGGTCAAGTAACAGCGTAAAGGGTACTAAAGTAAAGAGAAGGAGAGTCAAAGCCGGAAGGAGGATATCTCAATGTGTTACTTGCTACGGACGCTCTTGATGAATCACGGAGCTACGTGTTGGGACGCATCCTATGTTCTCTGCAAAGATACTGAAATATTTGGAAATCTTCTGCAGTGTTGCTGTAATTTGTTTTGATTTGGGGAGAGGCAGTCAAATTTTTAAAATTTCGGATACTTTCCAGTAATAGATAACTCTCTTTGGGGGTTGGGGGTGGAGCCGGGAATGCCACTTCTGGCTGATTTATTTCCATTAGAGCAAGACACAAATAGCCTTGTTTATTATTAGTCATAGTTATTACACTATTCATAATCTGTTTTCCCACAAGAACAGTATTGCAATGATGAATGACAACATATATATAGAACAAAACGAATTTATTGCAGAATGCATTTCCAGTGACGTGAACAAGAAATGAGGTCTGCGATATGTTTGAGCTGTGCTGGGCAACTCCAGTTGTGCCCCAAAACTCGCCTTTGAAGGAAAAGAATGAGCAGACACATTTCTAACTGATATTAGATTGCAAGCTCCCCTCTCCAGAGACAGGTCCGTGTCTTGTTCATTTATTTAATCACTTAGAACCGTATTCATATCACACAACAAAATAAATGTAGACTATGAGGAAATGAAAGTGAATTTTTTATTATGATTTCCCCCCATCACAATGACTAACATATCGATACATTGAGTGCTTACTGTGTGTCAGAATCTCTTCTAAGTGATTCACATGTTTTAACTCAGTAGTCCTCATCATTAATAGGTGAATATTATCACCCCCACTGAATATACAAAGAAAACTCAGCACAAAGAGATTGTGTAATCTGCAAGATTAAATAACACAACTAAATAAATTGATCTAGGATTTAATCCCAGGCATGCTGACTATAGATGCTGCTACCTTAATCACTACACATTCCGGCTTCCTGTGCATGTGCGTGTGTGCATGTGTGTGTGTATGTGTGTGAGGGTATATTTTCCTCCAAATTTATAATAACATACTACTACAATTTAATTTATGAGCTTCCTTTTTCCTCATTGAATAATGTTGCAAATATTAAACTCTTACTTTTGTATTTTACTCCATTGAGGCCTATCTCTTCTTCTGTAAGTACCATGCCATAGCTCCATAAAATATTTTAATATTTGCTTGTACCATCCCTTCTCATTTCTCTTATTTTTCAAAAAAGTTTTGCTATTTCTCTACATTATTCTATCTTTCCTTTTTTGTTTTCAGTGTATTTTCTTGACTCGGGAAAAACTCTTCTTCCTCCAGAGTATGGAGACCTTGGGCCAGGAGCATTTCTTTAAAATGATTCAGGAAGTATGAAGGCCAAGATGGACTCAGAGGCCGATAACCTTTGGATGGGAATAGAGGTGTGGGGTGTTAGGTGTATGTGATGAGCTGGGGTCTTATCACTCCAACCTTGCCCGATTCAGTTATATGTGTGTGTGTGTGTGTGTGTGTACACACACACACACACACGTATTTTCTGGGCTTCATTAGACATCTTCTCTGGATCCAGGAAGGAAGAATTTTTGAAAGCAATTATTTTAGTTCACAAAATAGTTACTCTGGGTTGAGGGAACCTGATTGTTCTCTAGGCTAATATGTCCTTGAAAAGATGGTAGCAAATATGAAGAGGCCAATGAAATGGTAGAAAAATGATTCCGAGTGTTTCAATTATCTTTCTTTTTTAAAAAAATAATTTATTTATTCATTTTTAGCTGCGTTGGGTCTTCGTTGCTGCGCACAGGCTTTCTCTAGTTGCGGCGAGTGGGGGGCTACTCTTTGTTGTGGTGCGTGGGCTTCTCATCACAGTGTCTTCTCTCGTTGTGGAGCACAGGTTCTAGATGTGTGGGCTCAGTGGTTGTGGCTCGTGGGCTCAGTAGTTGTGGCATGTGGGCTTAGTTGCTCCACGGCATGTGGGATCTTCCTGGACCAGGGATCGAACCCGTGTCCCCTGCATTGGCGGGCGGCTTAACCACTGCGTCACCAGGGAAGTCCCTCAATTATCTTTCTTATGGGATAAGGCTTGGTGATACTCAGCAGAGTCTTCTTGCAGTTTGGGGACTGTGGGTGGGAAAGATTGGTTTGGGGGAAGGGAGGTGGGTGTTTCTTCTGTTTTGATGGTAATAACTACAATTTATTGCATGCTTACTATATGCTAGCTATATGACAGTCTAAGAGCTCTACATCCCTTATGTCTTTGTGTCCACCCAATTCTGTAAAGTAGGTAGTGCCATCTTCTTTTCACAGATGAAGAAGCAGAGAACCAGATTAGCTGGGTGACATAACTCATCAGAGTATTACAACCGGTAATTCAGACCTGGGTTAAAATCTAAAGTCTTTGTGGTTTACGAGGCCCCCACAATCTGGCCTTTGCTTAAATATCAGCCTCATCTTTTGCCACCTAAATTCAACCACACAGGATTTTTTTCCAGTTCCTTTTTAAAAATAATTAATTAATTAATTTGGTTGCGCCGGGTCTTAGTTGTGGCAGGTGGGCTCCTTAGTTGTGGCATGTGAACTCTTAGCTACGGCATGCATGTGGGATCTAGTTCCCTGACCAGGGATCGCACCCGGGCCACCTGCATTGGGAGTGTGGAGTCTTAACCACGCTGCCACCAGGGAAGTCTCTCCAGTTCCTTAAATATGTCTTGTTTGCTGTGGCAGAGGCATTGCTTGCTATGTATTCCCCAAAGCATTTCCTTTTCTTCCCAAGCACACAGAAAACTTCCTTTCTCAGCCTCCCCTGGGATTTCAGTGGGACCATATGACCAACAGGATGGGAGTGGAAGTGATGTGCAACATTCCCAGACCTGGCCCCTAAAGCATTTCACATCTTTGACTCTGTTTTCTGCTCCCCATCTGCACAGCTGGATTGTAGAATCTCAAGTTGAGCTCCTGCTTCACTACTTGGACAAGAGCCACCCAGGTCAGCTGCTCAGAGAGCTGTGATATGAGAGAGGAACTTTTATCGGATAACTAGCTGAGATTTTGGAGTGGTTTGTTACAGCATCTAGTATTACTAATGTAACTAAATCACTTGCTCTAGACTAGAGGTTGGCAAACTTGCTTTTGGTACAAGGCCGGGTAGTAAATATTTTAGGTTTCCCAGGCCACACTGTCTCTTTTGTAACAACTCGACTCCGGCGTTGCAGTGTGACAATTGCCTTAGATCATACATAAGTGAATAGGCACTGCTGGGTTCCAATAAAACTTTATTTACAAAAACAGGCTGTGGCCCCATTTGGCCTGTGGACAACAGTATACCAACCCCTCTAAAGGACTAGAACAGCATGCTGTTCTCTGTTTCAACTTCTCTTTCTCTATCACTCCCAGACTCTACCTACCCTTTGCCTGGCTACACTGTTACAACTTCAGTTCCTTAGGAGGATGTTTCTACTCCCCCCGCCATATGTCTGTTCCCCCCTCCAATTAGGTCAGGACCCATTATCCTATGTTCCCATAGTGGCCACCTCAACTTTCTTTTTCATAATAAGCCTTCCATTTACAATGATTTTCAGTGTCTTTTCTGCCTTACTATGCCAAGAGCTTCAGGAGAAAAAGAAGCTATTTCTACTTCATTCCCTGTTTTATCTCTAGAACCCAACCCAGACCCTGAGCCAAAGTCCATGCTATAAATACTTATTGAGTCAATGGGCAATTCACTGCCTTCAATGATGAACCACTTCCTTCAATATATAGAACTTGTGGAGACTCATCCTTCCTCTCTCTTCCCTCTCCTCTCCCTCCTTGTGCCTCAGTCCTTGGGCTTAATACAGCTAAAAGGAAACTAAACCCACAATTACTGTTTTATAGTCACACTCTTGAATGGAGAAAATACCACAGAGATATTTACCCTCAGGCATATTTCTTTGGTGTAAATACTGACCTTGTCTTCACCTTAGGCAACATTTCTTCTTCAAGACCATAAAGCATGGGATGTCTTCTCATAAAAGTCGATCTCTGTCACAACTCTGAAAGCTTATTCCATCTCGAGCCCCGTAAGTGGAAAGAGGCTATTTCTGAAATTCTGTAATCATATCACTCCAACACCTATAAATCTGAAAAGCTTTCCAACTTTCCTCAATACTGTAGATATTAGGTGAGTGGACTACTGCACATGATCAAATACAGTTTCACCATACATGAAAAGAGAGGATAAGAGAACAGGTATTCATTCTATTTTCAGGATAAAGAATAAATACAAGAAATAATGTCAGCTTAGAACAGCATAAGATCAAAAAAATATGTAACAGAAAGTCAAGTAAGATGAGTTTGTAGTACTGTTAAGTGTTTGGTTTGAGCTGATAAACTGTCAAACAAACAAACAAACAAAAAACTCTGGGAGTTGGAGAACTCAAACACTGTCATGGGCACATTCACAGTGCAGCTAAATTTACCAGGGCTACAAGCTGAGTGGTGAGCAGGGCTTCTGGGTTCCCCATGGTTTCCCAATGGTATCTGTGAACCTAAGAAGGGGAAGACAAGTTTGCCAGTCTAGAAAGAGTCCTAAGACATTTTACTCAAAAGGTGGCCTCAGCTTCCTCTTTCCTTATCACGTGGTCAGGTGGAGCATCAACAGGAGCTTGTGCAGGTGAGTCAGGGAAGAGTTGAGATGGGCAGCGTCAGCGCCTAAGGAAGTCTT